GTAAGGGAGGTAGGGCAATGCTGCTTTATATGGGGAGATCAGAGAAGGACTCTCTAATAAGGTGACATTTTATGGAAATATGTAAGGAAAATTGTAGGGAGCATATGTTTCTTTGAGAGGAGAGCATTACAGGCAGGGGGAACAGAAATACAGAGGCTCTGAAGTAGGAACATGCTTGGTTTGAGGACCAAGAAGAAGACTGGTATGGCTGGTACAGAGTTAGGGGCTAGGGTTTGGTAAGAGGAGAGGAGGAGGTCATAGAGGTAGCAGGGAGCTACTTCATGTAGGGCCTGGAAAGATATGGGAATGACTTTGGATTTACACTCTGAGTGAGATGGAAGGCCATAAGAGTTGCATAGCGTACATATGAACCAACTGATGTTTAAAAGGACTGCCCTGATAACTGTATTGAGTACAGGCAGTAGGGAGGCAAGGGTGAAAGCAGGGAGACCAGTTAGAACTTTTACTGTAACAGGTTTTAGGATGGAGGTAATGAGAAATGACAAATTTTATAGGTATTTGCTGAAGGATTGTGGAATGTAACAGAAAGAGAGGGTAAAAGGGTTGACTTCTTTCTGGCCTGAGCTTCTTGCAGAATGGAGTTGTGGTTTACTGAGGTGGAGAAGACTGAAGGAAGAGCAGATCTGTTGCAGGAGAAAAGGAAACAGGACAGTTTTGGACATGTTGAGTTCAAAATGCCTATTAAACATGTAAGTGGAGAGATCAGGTAGGTTGTTGGCTATCAGTCTGAAGTTTAGGGAAGCAGTCAAGGCTACAGATGTAAATTTGGGAGCTGTCAGGGTATAGATAGTATTTATGGTGAGATGACTAGATGAAATTATCTAGGTTATAAGAGTAGAAGGAGATGCGAAGAGGTCTGATGACAGTCATAGGGCTACCTCAGCATTTAACAGCATTCAAATTTGGGAAAATAAGGAATCTACCAAGGAGACTGAGGAGGAGTGATCAGTGAGGTAAAAAAAAAGAACTAAGAGAGGTATTTCAAAGAGGGAGTGAGCAAATTGTGTCAAAGGAGTAAGATTAAGATTGAGAAATGTCCATTGGAATTGGCAAAATGAAGGTCATTTTTCACTTGACAGGAGCTATTGGAGTGGTTGGGAGTAGTCAATGAAAACTTAGGAATGGAATAGAATTGAAGATAGCTAATATGGACAGGTCTTTAGATTTTTCCTTTTAAGAGGGGCTTAGAAGTGGAACAACATGTGGGAGCCCAAGGAAGGTCTTTTAAGTATTTTTAAAGGATATTACAGTATGTTTAGCATGCCAGTGGAGAGAAAAAAATGTGTAAGAGAGATAGAATTGCTGCAGAGAAGACGGGGTGGGATATTATCGCAACTGAAGGTTAACCTTAGGAACATTGGGCAGTTTATCCATAGTAACAGGAGATTAGTCAGAGGATATGTGTAGACATGCAGATAGGTTGAGGTATGTGGTGATAGGAGGTTGTGGAAGTTTTTGTTTTGTTGCTTTTCTCCTCTCTTTGAAACCCTCTCCAGTGAAATAAATAAGGTCATCATCTGCAAGTTAGGAATAGGGAGGAGATGTTGAAGGTTTGACAGAGAGATAAAGCTATTCAATAATTATCTACAAAAATGGAATACAAATTAATTTGAGAATGTGTTCAGCTGCTCAGGTACAGGTACAAAATAGGGGAAGAGTTGGATTTACCTGTGCCTTAGGTTTTGTCAAGCGAAGCTAGTTGAGGAAGAGAGGAACAAGCGAATCGATGCGCCATGCAAAGAAGTACTTAATTGATGGACCCTGAAATAATCAGGTAAAGAGGGCAATCATGTGCATGGGCTCTCGGACAGTCAGAAGACAGAAAGTCTGTACATGGGAGACCTGAAAGGTGTTAAAAACTTGTTTGAGTCTTAGAGAGAGTGATCAGGAAAGATAAAAGATGATGCTCAGAGGGCTTCCCTGGTGGCGCAGTGGTTGAGAGTCCGCCTGCCGATGCATGGGACACGGGTTCGTGCCCCAGTCCGGGAAGACCCCACATGCCGCGGAGTGACTGGGCCCGTGAGCCATGGCCGCTGAGCCTGCGCGTCTGGAGCCTGTGCTCTGCAACGGGAGAGGCCACAACAGTGAGAGGCCCACGTACTGCAAAAAAAAAAAAAAAAAAAAAAAAAGACAACCTTGAGTTGAGGGGCATTCCACTTTGTCACATTGCTCATAGTCCCCACCATTTACCCCACATCCCCCCTCCCCCCCACCCCCATCATTACTTTTGTCTTATAATCTTCCAGCGTCTTTTAGACCCCTTTGCATATTTACGTTTACTGGTACTTTTTCTCAAGGCATTCACGTTTAAAACTCTGCCTTAGACCTACTGAATCACAATCTCCAGAGTTGGGCTTTTGTCATTTCTGTTTGGAAACGTCCATAAGTAAATCTGATGACAGATAGTGGTTGAAAAGGACAGATCTTAACTTTCTAGCAGTGGATCTTGGGTCAGCAACTTAACCTCTCTTGTTTTCAGTTTTCTATCCATAAAATTGATATTAAAATAATAGAACCCACCTCATGTGGTAGTGTTAAAGGATAAATGAGATAGTATGAAAAAAGGCACCTGTGCCTGGTACATGGTAGATATTCAGAAAAATGTTTTTCCCTTTCCATTTTCCATTGGGGAGTAGGATCTTGAAAGTTTCTCTAGGCAAGTTGAAGGGATATTCCAAGTCAACCAATTCCTTAATTAGGACACTATTTTGAATGGTTTAACAAAAGCAAATCGCCAGTGACTTAAACAAAGAAGTTGAATTCTTTCTACATTCCAGACTGATTTGATATTGGGGGAGTTTGGTTCCAGGGACCAGGTGCCTTCTTACTTGTTTCTTCATCTTCCCTTAGTCTGTTGCACTTTCTTACATGGTCAGAGATGGTTTATCACACCTTGACTGGGTTCCACCCCATTCGAAGGAAGGAAGAAAAGGTTAAGAGTAGGCAGTTTCCTTTCAAAGGTATGGTTAGGAAATTTCACAAACCTCATTGGCTGGAACTTACCACATGCCCATATCCAGATGCTGAGAGTCTGGAGCAGAGATTTTCTAGCAAGGTCGTCAAGTACCCAGTAGAAACTCAGAAGATTCTAGTACTAAGGAGAAGAAGGGGAGGATAGATATCAGAAGACAGTGGTTTCTGTCACAGTTAATATTTGCTTGGTATATCTGTTCCACTGTCTAAACAAGGTTAATCCCTTGGTCATTCTAGCCTTAGACTTAGGGTTTATTGTCCCCCAATCCCAAATAATGAAAACCAAAAAAATTTACTTGGGCTACCTAGTCCCCTTCAGATATCTTTTTGACCAGAGATGACTGGTCTTTTTAGCGAGTCAGAGTCTAGGTCCTAATGCTTAACTCATCTATGCAAGCATGAATCCTATCTCTGATAAGTCAATTTCAACCTTACCTACTACTTTAAAACAGTAGAATAGTTCTCTAGATCATTTTGACTACGCTTCAATGTGTTCTTTATTTCCATTAGCCTATTCTGTGACCAGGATGTAGAGTATGTTGTGAGAAAGCAACTGTGTGTGTGTGTGTGTGCGCGCACGCATTTTAATGCAATCTCCTGCCCATGTTTTTGTATTGTGTCCCTATACGAAGTACTTATTATTAAATCTGTTTTACTTATGAGTTAACAGAGACCCAGAGATGTTTTACAACTTGTTTGAAGCCACAAAAATCAGTAAATGGTGGAGCCAGGATTTATCTCCAGGTTTTTATATTTCCAAATTCTGTAATCACAGTGTTCACAGTGCTATATTGTGACATCTTTGGATATCACACTACAGAACTGCATCATATGCTTTTTTTTTTAATGTCAAGGACACTTTAGTTTTATTATTATGATGATTTCTCTTTTTGTACTTTCTCATTTGTTTCTTTTCTTAGTGTCATCATTTCTCTTTGGGCTGTAAAACCCTACCTTACTAAGAGACCCTTTAACATAACTTAGATAAAAACCTATATGGATAGCTTATCTTTATTTTTTCTCTTTGGGACAGACCTAAAGAATGAACTGCCTGTTACTTTGCTGGCAATCACATTGCACATTACTTTTTTTTGGCTACATATTTATAATTTATTTCTATTTTTGATAGTAGATTTCTTTTATTTTTGGTACCCTACTATTTATGAATAAAAAATGTACCCATTAAGGTAGTATCATGAAATATGACTGTGAGAGAGCTGTGTTTCCATCTGAGATTTTAGGGTTTCATGAAGAGTTAAAGGGAATATCTAAAGTGTTTTATTGACAAGGCCTGGCCTTTTTTTTTTTTTGGTGGTACGCCGGCCTCTCACTGTTGTGGCCTCTCCCGTTGCGGAGCACAGGCTCAGGACGCGCAGGCTTAGCGGCCATGGTTCACGGGCCCAGCCACTCTGAGGCATGTGGGATCTTCCCGGACCGGGGCACGAACCTGTGTCCCCTGCATCGGCAGGCGGGCTCTCAACCACTGTGCCACCAGGGAAGCCCCAGGCCTGGCCTTCTTAATCCATTTTTGTCCCAGGTGGAATCTGCCTGTGCATTTCTAGTCAATTAGAAGTACCCTACTTATCTGTGTTGGCTAGTCCTGTATTTTCTAGATATACTGTTGTTTTATAATATTAATCTATGTATGCATAACTTTAATATTTAATGATGATTTCTACCTAAGATTATTGAAATCTTGTTTTAAACCGTGATTATTTCTTTAGGTAACAAATATAACTAAATGGTAATACCTAAGATTTGATTTCAGTATTTTTAAATCCACAAGGCCCTTTAAAAAAAAATTGCTAATTTGAACTTGATATATAGGATTAAGTTTCTAAAGCAGCAATTTTTATCATTATGTATAAAAATTACTTTTGTAATTTATTTTAGGAATAACCAATACTGTGGGCTATTCTTCAAAAAGGAAATATTATCTATTATCGTTTTTTTAATGACCCTTTGAAGTAAAAATGTTTACTTTTTCCCCTCTGTTTTTGATATAGGATATAGCAGATCCATTTTTTGCTTATTGTAAGCAACATGCAGATAGGTTAGACAGAAAGTGGAAGAGAAAAAACTACTTGGCTCTACAATCCTATTGTAAAATGTCTTTACAAGAGAGAGAGAAGCAACTATCACCAGAAGCACAGGTATGGATGGCATTCATGCCAAAACTCATGTTTTTTTCTTTCAAGGTTATATAAGTTTCAGGGAATTCCCTGGCGGTCCAGTGTTTAGGACTCCACACTCTCACTTCTGAGGGCCTGGGTTTGATCCCTGGTCAGGGAACTGAGATCCCACAAGCCACGCAGCATGGCCAAAAAAAAAAAAAAAAAATCAAGGTTATAAATTTCAGATCTCATGTGTGTTTGCCAATGACATGTGAAGTATAATTGTGAAATTTGGTTAGTTACCTAGGAAGTGGATTGTCATTAAGATAAATGGTGAGTATAGTTTGTGGTTGAATATATTACTCATCACCTAGTCAACAAAGCAGTCATTTGTAAAGCATGCTTCCAGTACATTAAAGAATATGGCTTAGAGGAAATTATTCTGTCAGTGCAATATGTTGACCACATCGTTTTTTCAGTCTCTTCTAATGTTCTTTTATGCAAAGAATTTGATTAGTTTTCCCATCATATAAAATGTATTTTTATGTAAATTAAGTACATTTATGGAGACTAGTGCAAGGCTAGTTGAGAAGAGAAACTTCAGCTTATTCATATTAGTTTTTGACAATTCTGATCATAGACTAGGACAGTTGTTACTAAGGGTAGACCTGGTTTATTATAGCCCAAGAATTATACAGTATACCTTAAGGACTGCAGATAGATATAATTTGCCTTGGTATGTGAAATTCTGGTTATCTTTACTTTTTCTAAATGTGGAAGTAAAAATCATAAGGAGTATGTTCCATTTTAATATCTTTTAAAATTTGTATACATTTCTTTTATAGGCAAGGATCAATGCCCGGCTTCAGCAATATCGTGCCAAAGCAGAACTAGCTCGATCCACCAGACCCCAGGCCTGGGTTCCAAGGGAAAAATTGCCCAGACCACTCACTAGCAGTGCTTCGGCCATTCGTAAACTTATGCGGAAAGCAGAACTGATGGGGATCAGTACAGATATCTTCCCAGTGGACAATTCAGATACTAGTTCTAGTGTGGATGGAAGGAGAAAACATAAGCAACCCGCTCTCACTGCTGATTTTGTGAATTATTATTTTGGTCAGTATAGACACTGATTCATGCACGTTTTCATTGATGACAATTTGCTGATGGAGATTTCGATGTGCTGTCAATTTTTAGAAATTTACTAGCAATGTTACATATATCAAGTAAAAGCATGTTTATTTTCCTAATAAGTTGTGGTTTGCTGTAAAATGCTAAGCTAATTTGTGAATAGAGTTAAAAGTGTTTTGAATGCCATGTGATCATCCCTATGGCTAGCTTCTTCCTTTGTGTATTTTGTATATCAGCTTTTATTTTCTACTAAAGTAAAATTGGATATTTAATTTAAATAGAGAGAAATATGCGCATGATTCAAATTCAAGAAAATATGGCTGAACAAAAGAATATAAAGGATAAATTAGAGAATGAACAAGAAAAGCTTCATGTGGAATATAATAAGGTAAGTTGGCTGTAAAACAAACAACATAATATATTACATCTTATTGATGATTTCTTTTGTGATTTTATAACATTTTTATTTATGTTTTATTTTGAAATTCCTTTGGAGTTCTTACAACTTGCCTACAATTCCGACCCCTCATTATTTTCATTACCATCATTAACACTTACTGAGTACTTTCTGTGTGCCAGGCACAATTTTGAGCACTTTTACTTATATTAACTCATTTAATTCTGCTTTCAGCTTTATAATATAGTTTAGGATTACTGCTCCCATTTTCAGAGGAGTAAACTGAGTCCTAAACAGGGGAAGTAATTTGCCCAGGCTCACATAGGTAGTCAAGTCATAGAGTTGGGGTTTGAAGCCCAGCAGTCTGACTCCATTCCTTATTCCTAACCACTGTACTATGGAACTTTTCTTTCTGAGTTGTAGAAAACTTTAAAACTTATTTTGAAATTACTTTTTTTCTTGAATTGTTTTGTTACTTTTGATTAAAAAAAAAACTCCTAATTTAAATTTCCCTTCTACCCCTTCTTTCTAAAGATGAGGAAGGTCAAAAAGAAATATATAAAAGCAAGTTGTGACTAAATTTTAGGTAATAAGTAACATGAGCATATAAAACCAGGATTGACTTATTAATAAATAATATTTTAAGTGATAAAAAAATTTGTAGCAAGTAAATTTCCAATAATCAGCCACACTGTATTGAGAAGAGTACTGGGACTCAATTCAAAAGACCTAAGGATTCTTGCTAGTCTTATGATTTTAGCTAAGTCACAAAAACCTTGTGATCCTTAGTTTTCTCATTGGGAAAATGGTGGGAGTGCGTCTTGATAGACTCATAGGATTAATTAGCAGAATGTTTCTGAAATTATATAACTATAATAGAATATATAAATGTAGGCATCATTATTATCATTCGTAAAAATGGTAACGTAAAACAAAATGCTTACATTTTGTTGGTGCTGCTTAGATAATTGGAGACCCTCATTTTTCAGTGTATTGTACTTGAATGTGTTAAAAATATATGGACTATAAATATAGATATTTTGGGACATTTATTAATAAATTATTTACATTTTCACATATTTTACTGTATATTTTAATGGTTTACTAATTTGAATTATTTACATTGTAGCTGTGTGAATCTTTAGAAGAACTACAAAACCTGAATGGAAAACTTCGAAGTGAAGGACAAGGAATATGGGCCTTACTAGGCAGAATCACAGGGCAGGTTAGTTTCTTTCCAATTGCTCTCTGTTTCTCTTCCTGCTCTCTATGTGATTGCAAAGATCAGAGCTCTAATACAACTGTCTCTTCACTAACTAAAGAATTCCATTTAATCAGGGTCAACTAATCCTCTGGGATAATGATTCCTGCCTGCAGTACATCTAGAGATTTGGAAGCTGCCTACTGAGAACTTGTAGCTTAATTTGGTTGTTTTAACAGCTATCTTGTTTGCAGACTTTTTCATTTGCTCTAACTGATTGACCTCTCGTTTGTGATGAAGCTAAGATTTGAAGCATGAGTTACTTCTACCATATTCTTCTGCCTCTAACGTAGCGGTTTTAGATGCCTTGCCACATTTCTTCTGTCCTGTTCTTGTGCTATAATTAGTTCTTTTTTTTTTTGGACTGGGGGTGTGTGTAAAATTTAAACAGAAAACTGGAGAGATTTATTTTCATGTTGATTTGGTTTTGAACTGCGTAAGAAATGGTTTTTGAAACTTTAATGTTAAAATGTAGTTTTTCTCCTTCAGTAGCTATTATTGTAGTTATGAAAAAAATTAACTTTATCCTTGAACATATTTATTAGCCTTTTATAGTTCTTGGTATTGAAAAGAATCATTGCCAAATGGATTTCTTTGAATGCTTTTTTTTGATACTGTGTATATAATTCTTAAATTAAGAATTCATTTGAATAATTTCAGTTATTTTTTTAAGGATGATGGAGACTCACTGTGGTCCTTTCACTATGAAAATAGTTTTGTTTGTGAAGGAAGGTTTTCAAAGAACAGATATTTTTCATTGTACTTGTTTTAAAGGTTTACAAAGAGTCAAATTCATTAAATAATTTGTGTAGACATATTATTTTAGAAGGTAATGCATACTGATATGTATTGTGCCATGCTGGCTTTGAAGATGCTGCTTTTGTGAACAAGGTGTATATGGCTTATATTATAATGAATAACATAATATAAAAGGTGAGAATGAAGTCGCGTATGGAGAATTGACTTTTGTTTCTATTGATAGGTTGTTGATGAATTTTTGGAAGATTATGGTGTTTTATATTTTATATTTAGATAAGTTAATATTGAATGCAAGCCTATTATTCGTTTATTTGGCAAGCTAGCATTATCTTCTGGCTTGGTTTGCAAGTTTGTCTCATAAGTATTTCCTATTTAGTATAAAACATTATCTACTATAAAAGAGCATTTTCATTTATTAAATCACTTGTAACAGAAGCACATACATTTCCTTGTGCAAATGTAAAATACACAGCAGAAGTAGAATTCATTTGTACCACTTACAGGACACTTTTTTCCAGTTGGTTAAACAGATGCCAGCCCACTGGGCCACTGAGAAATGACTTTGATAGATGGTTGCTGTCTGGGAAGCCAGCATAATACTGATTAGTAGAAACCCAAAGAGAATCTACTTCGCTTTGTGGAGGGTTTGGTCCAATAAGATAATTTTTCTAATTAACCTTTGGAGCACCAGTGTAGCTGGGATGTTGAGGAAAATAAACGGCCTCAATATTCTTTTTGTCAAGTGTACTTTTTTTTTAAAGTTCTTAAATTCTTGTCCTTTCATTTTTAAAGCTAAAGTAGAAGTTTAATTTTCATGATGTTTTAGTGGTCCACTGAAAATCGATGAAAGTATGTTATTATAGGCTTCTAATGGCAGTGACTGAGACAAAAACTCATTTTAGTCCTTTTTGCCAATGTAAAAGCTTGTAAAAGATTTCCCCCTCACAATCCTAGCATATTAATTGACTTGGGCAGTGCATAGAGGAAAGTTGCTTTATATTTTTTCTTTAAAACAAAATAAACTGCATTTGTTCAAATCAATAGAAGTTGAACATACCGGCTATTTTGCGAGCACCCAAGGAGAGAAAACCAAGTAAAAAAGAAGGAGGCACACAAAAGACATCTACTCTTCCTGCAGTACTTTATAGGCAAGTAATGAAATTATGATAGATTAATATTGTGTTTTTTTTCATTTTTAAAAATATTATTTATTTTTGGCTGCATTGGGTCTCGGCTGCTGTGCGTGGGCCTCTCATTGCGGTGGCCTCTTTTGTTGAGGAGCACAGGCTCTAGGTGCGTGTGCTTCAGTAGTTGTGGCACACAGGCTCAGTAGTTGTGGCTTGTGGGCTCTAGAGCGCAGGCTCAGTAGTTGTGGTACACAAGCCTAGCTGCTCCGTGGCATGTGGGGTCCTCCCTGACCAGGGCTTGAACCCATGTCCCCTGCATTGGCAGGTGGGTTCTTAACCACTGCGCCACCAGGGAAGCCCTTGTGTATTTTTAAACTAATACTTTTTAGTAACAAGATGCTTCAGATATTTGTGAATGAATTACGTTTATATTGGAATTTAAGTTAAATGCATTTGAAGTTCATTTTATTAAAACCATCAAAGATGCTTTCCAGATTGAATGGTGATAGAAGAGATTTTGCTCCTCTTTTAATGACAAGCTGAACCACTTTTTGTATCCTTTAAGTAACTGGGGCTATGTGTGCATATGCTCCATGGAAATGAACTGTCCTCTTTGGGGAACTGGAAAGTGACTTTAAATAATGTAGATGATTATTTTCTTAAATAGTTAAAATGATATGTTAGATAAATGGGCATTTATATTTTATTTTACTTGAATGAGTTTTAGAGGTTTACATGTGTTTTTAGGTAGTGATGGGTACTATAATATAGCTTGAATTACTGCCTTTGCACAGTGGTGGATAATGAAGATAAGTTTTAGATTTGAATCTGTCTATATTTTTTTCTCTCTTGGCTCAGTTGTAATAATTTCATTCTCCCAAATATTTTTCTTCTTGGCTCAGTATTTTACAGTATTCACCATTATAGCAATTTTACATAGTTATTAAGACTTCTTTCCATACTTCAGTAGGTTTGGATCTCACTATTTTTTCCATGTAACTGATGATATTAATTGAGAAAAGTCTAGAAGATGCTAGTATATGTTTGTGTGTGTGTATACATCCACAAATCTATTCACATACACAAGTATATGCTTATGTAAATTTATAAATATTCTCCACAACCTCTTCCTTTCTCAGAAATAGCAGCAGTAGCAACAATATCAATTTCTATAATTACTTTCTCTTCCTGATTGGAGGCTCTCTCTATAGGTAATAGCAGATAACTTCCTTGAACTTTGGAGGCCCACTAGTGTTTTAGTGTACTTTATGAAGACTAGCACATTCTCAGTTTAGCTTTTCCAAATAAAACTGGTTCATTTGGAACTGTCAGGCATATCACTTATGCTCCTGACTTTTTATCACTACAGTTCATTTTTATTTCAGAATATACTTTAAGTAATTTTCCATTTTTACTCTGAGCAACTTTGAGACCCAGTACTGGTCGTTGTTGTCATTGTTGTATATGTGATCTTTTTTTCTAGGATTATTTAAAAATTCAAATATCATTGCTGTTTCTATATATATATGGCTCTTTTAGGTTCTCAACAACTTTTTCCTCAACTTTCACATTCTTAATATAAATATACCCTAGATTTTTAGGTCATAGTGTTTGTGCTCTCAGGAGTAGTTAACTTGTCCTTCTGCCCAAGAAAAGTTGGATTTCTTAAGAACAAACAAAAATGTAAAATAACAGTAACAGGGACTTTCCTGGTGGTCCAGTGGTTAAGACTTCGCCTTCCAACACAGGGGGTGCGGGTTCGATCCCTTGTCGGGGAGCTAAGATCCTACATATCTCGTGGCCAAAAAAACCAAAACATAAAAAAAAAAAAAACAAAAAAAAAACCTGGAAGCAATATTGTAACAAATTCAATAAAGACTTTAAAAATGGTCCATATAGTAAATAAATAACATAAGATAATGTAACATAACAGTAACAACAATAGTGAAACTTCCCATTCTTTATAATAAATAATCAATTGGTATATTTTTAAGACTCAAAGTCTGATTTTGTGAAGAGACTTATATATGTAGCTTATTTACATGTTGAAAGTTCTTTGAAAGATTTATAATTAATGGTAGAAAATAAACTGAATTTTGTTTGTAAAGTAACTTCTTTTGTAGTTTTAGAGACGTAGAAAATTGAAAGATTTTTTTGTTTAATAATTTGTTTCTAGAAAAAAATTGGTCTAATGTTAAATGGGTTTTAAAGTGATAATTAAAATTAAGATAAAGACAACGTTAACATAAGTATCTAACATATGCCCTTCTCTGAATAGTATGACACCAGCAATATTTAAATTTATACTAGATCCAGGCTATTTTTCTACATTCTCAAAAGTATATAGAACTAATAATTATTGACATTATAAAAAGACATGTTGTGAAAAAATATTTGATTTCAATAAAAGTTAATATGGTGAAATTTTGAAATTTTAAAAATATGCTGTAAGTTAACTGTTCACTATGATGATTATTATTCTAATCCTTTATTTGCTGCCTTTATTCAAAGTTGTGGAATTTGTAAGAAGAACCATGATCAGCATCTTCTTTTATTGTGTGATACCTGTAAACTCCATTACCATCTTGGATGTCTGGACCCTCCTCTTACAAGGATGCCAAGAAAGACCAAAAACAGTTATTGGTAAGTAAAATGGAGAGGATTTAGATGTTAGAACTGCTTTGCTCTTAGTTTCAGCAGTGTAAGTGTTATATCATATTGCTTCATATAAAGTTTTCAGTAAGTTTTTAATTGATATTTTTATAATTTTTTCCAATTTTATTGATATAATTGACAGTTAAAAATTGTGTAGTTTTAAAAATAAACAAATGGGACCTAATGAAACTTAAAAGCTTTTGCACAGCAAAGGAAACCATAAACAAGACGAAAAGACAACCCTCAGAATGGGAGAAAACATTTGCAAATGAATCAACTGACAAAGGATTAATCTCCAAAATATACAAGCAGCTCATGCAGCTCAATATCAGAAAAACAAACAACCCAATCCAAAAATGGGCGGAAGACCTAAATAGACATTTCTCCAAAGAAGATATACAGACTGCCAACAAACACATGAAAGAATGCTCAACATCATTAATCATTAGAGAAATGCAAATCAAAACTACAATGAGATATCATCTCACACCGGTCAGAATGGCCATCATCAAAAAATCTAGAAACAATAAATGCTGGAGAGGGTGTGGAGAAAAGGGAACACTCTTGCACTGCTGGTGGGAATGTGAATTGGTTCAGCCACTATGGAGAACAGTATGGAGGTTCCTTAAAAAACTACAAATAGAACTACCATATGACCCAGCAATCCCACTACTAGGTATATACCCTGAGGAAACCAGAATTCAGAAAGAGTCATGTACCAAAATGTTCATTGCAAAAGAAACGAAATTGAGTTATTTGTAGTGAGGTGGATGGACCTAGAGTCTGTCATACAGAGTGAAGTAAGTCAGAAAGAGAAAAACATATACCATATGCTAACACAAATATATGGAATCTAAGAAAAAAAAATGGTCATGAAGGACCTAAGGGCAAGACAGGAATAAAGACACAGACCTACTAGAGAATGGAGTTGAGGATGTGGGGAGGGGGAAGGGTAAGCTGTGACAAAGTGAGAGAGTGGCATGGACAGATAAACACTACCAAACGTAAAGCAGATAGCTAGTGGGAAGCAGCCGCATAGCACAGGGAGATCAGCTCGGTGCTCTGTGACCACCTAGAGGGGTGGGATAGGGAGGCTGGGAGGGAGGGAGACGAAGAGGGAAGAGATATGGGAACATATGTATGTGTATAACTGGTTCACTTTGTTATAAAGCAGAAACTAACACACCATTGTAAAGCAATTATACTCCAATAAAGATGTTAAAAAAAATTGTGTAGTTTTAAGTTTTACAACCTAATGATTTTATATATATATGTATGCATTATGAAATAATCACCACAATCAAGCTAATTAGCATAGTCATCACCTCACATAGTTACCATTTTTTTGTGGTGAGAACATTTCAGACATAAATATTTATTATAGCATTATATGAATAAAGGTGTAGCAGTTTTTTGATAAATGAATTTTAAGTTAATTGAGGCTATTTTGGTATCTTAGCAATGGTTTCTTTTTTTTTTTTTTTTTTTTTTTTTTGCGGTAAGTGGGCCTCTCACTGTCGTGGCCTCTCCCGTTTCGGAGCACAGGCTCCGGACGCGCAGGCTCAGCGGCCATGGCTCACGAGCCCAGCCGCGGCAGGTGGACTTTCAACCACTGCGCCACCAGGGAAGCCCAGCAATGGTTTCTTAAAGCATGAATTCTGTTTATAATTCTCTTGCTTTATTATACATTTTTTAAAATGCTTTAATTTTGTTTTGAAATTGAATGAATTTATCAAGAATTTGCCTCCATATTCATGCTTTTATTTGTAATTTAGTATTTTATTTCTAAATTAGTGTCACCGAAGGCTTTACTTCTGGTACTTGTCATTTGTGCTAGTTGTATATTTAAGTTCAGCCATTCTTTGCAAATCTAGAAACATTTGACATATGTTTCTGAATTATTTTTTCATTAACTTAGGCATGTTGAATCACTACAGATGTTTGATAAAAGCTTATGATATTTATAAGTTTTATGCTTAATTTTAGTCCAAGCAAGAGACAGATGTTCAAATTCTAATAGATTGATTCCATACAGGAAGAATATAGGCCATGGAAAGCTTAGGAATGAACACGACTATTTTTATACAAACTTTATACAAATTCTAGTTTTGGAAAAGACTGGACCCCAGATTTTTAAATGGTAATCTATACAAAAAGGTGTGTATTCTTCAAACACATTAAAGCAAGTTTTCTGACCTCATTGTTTTATTTCATAAACCTACCTCTGTTCATTTTATTAAGAAGCTCACATTCTTCCACCATTTTCACATGATTGCTTTTTCATAGTGTTCTTTTATCAGTTTGTCTTGAGCCAGTCATACTGATCAACTCTTTTTCAAATATAGTGGAATGTGTTACTTTTGATACGTGTGTGATTTTGAAACCAGAGTTTCAGAGAAACTTGCTGTCACTTATTAGAATGCCTGCAGTGTTAATAAACATCCATGTGGGTTTCTAAATTCTCCAGGACCAGGAAGCTTTGTCATGATCTTGGAAGTGTAGATATGCATTTCTCTTCTTAAATGAGGTTATTAATTTGTCTAATCCCACTGTGCTTGCAGAGCTTTGTTTTCCAGTGTGTAAGAGTTTCTGGAAGAATATCAGATGAAAGTGCATAGCCTGGGATGTTTTAGTGAACGCTCCCCCCAGTGAACCTAAATTACTTAGGGTTCTATGCATTAGTTGCAATGTTTTAAAGTAAAAATAGAAGCTAATATTGCAGCAAAGTGAAGTCTTCACTGTCTTGTAGCTTCTAGTGATCAAATTTCCTTTGACCTCTAAAGTCAACTGAGCTTTGCTTAGCAATTAATTGGATGTATTAGTTTTGGAGTAATTTTTGGAGATTATTTTTTTCTTCAGTGCTCTCAAATATGGGAGGCAGTTTTTACTTTTTGCTTTTTAACATTTCCAGTTTATTTTTGAAATTATATTAAAGATAATAAATACTAAAAAACTTCACCTCCTACATACTTTACCATTAACTATGCTTTTTAGTTTATTTAAATCTATTATATATATATATATTAGAAAAACTGTGTAATGGTGTGCTACTACATCTTTTCCCTATTCTGTGCATGATAGCTTGAAATTGACCACAGGTAGGAGTATTCCTATCACAGAAATTGGCAAAAGCTACAAATTAGGACTTTTGCCCATATTTACCATCGCTCTGTTGCCTAATTTCTGCTTTAATCTCTACCTTAGTTTTCAGTCTTTTTTTTTTTTTGGTTTTTTTTTTTTTTTTTTTTT